CAAAAATATTCTTCTTAGTGTAGGTCTATTTCTGATTATCAATCTTTATTTTTCATCTCTGCTGATTTCAATCCTTCCGTATTCTTGGCTTTTTAGATATGAGAAATAAATTTAAAAAAACAGCGGGGGAGAGAGAAGAAAAAAATGAAATAACAATGGTAAGTGATGTGAGTAGAATTGTCCTGTGGTGTGTGACTCTATTATTGAAGTACCAATGCAACCTAAACGAAAAAACATAAATCAGTATATGAACATTGAAAACGTAAAACAAACTTTTTCGGCAGGTATCAGTGGACATTTCCAATTGTAGATGTAATATTGAATATTACCATCACCGTCACCAAATTTAAGTTTTTCTAAAAATTCCTTATTATCCATTATATCGAGCGCATTGAACACATCGAAATCACTCTTGAAAAAAATCATTATGAAAATGAACAAAAACGTTCGTTTTACTCCTTACATTGTGTGCTTGCACAAGACAATCATTGACGAGATCGGTCAGTGGTGTTCGACTGGCAGCATAATAATACATGTAGCATGAATTCAATATCTTGTATTGTGGATGATTCATAATTGTCGATGGTAAATGATAGTACGATATGAAATCGGTTATTTCGCCTTGATCATTCTATCGAGAGGAAAAATCCAATCAAATAGTGAAAAGAAAAAAAAAATAATGATGAGAGTTTTTTTGTTACTTCAACAACAAATGCGCTCACGATGCTCGGCCGATTTTTACATAAATATTCAAATTCATCAAGGGAAAACACCGGCGCCAAGTCGAATTTTGTCAGATACTAATTGAGGAATGAAATAGGACAAAAAAAAACCAACGTAAGAGAAAAGCGACATACTTGAGTGAGTAATCTCCAAGCTTGAGGTATATCAGCATCGCGCATCTCGCGAAAGCCTGCCACTTGTGTCGTCTATTTGAAGAAAAAAACACCGAAAAATTGACTTAGAAAACAATACACATTAGAGTTTCGTCTGTGATCTATAAATCTTTGTTGAGAATCACACAAATCGACTGTTCGCTTCGTCTTTAAAATTCATCGATATATGCATATCAGACGCTAAATTACATTGACAGGTGACATTTGATGTATGCAGATGTAGTTTTTGGTGGATAGTGTTTAAGAACTACATGAGTGACTTAACTTCGACAGGCTCAACGGAATCGATTGAAAAGTATTTCAAGCTGAATGATTATACTACCGATTCCGAGCACTGTTCGAACGATACTATTTATTTTAAAGTAAAATCGACTGAGCTCAAGATCAATTTGCTCTGCTGTCAATGTACGTATTATTCACAATTATCGAAGTTTTGTCCATATCTGAAAGAGAAAACATGTCGAAACTGAAAAAGTCTAAAACGGCTAATGTTGAAAAGGATATATCGCACATGAAAATTTTGTATTTGGAAACGATACTTATTGTTAAGAAACAAAAATAAGTATCTCTCTTCGGCATTCTCCACTATTTCTTCACATCGGAGTGGTTCGTAGTCAGCCAGACAACATTTTGGTAGTGTAGTCATGGTAACTGCTCTTAGTCAATATTCGAATGAATCATTCGTTTGTCTCGTTTTTTGTTGTAAAATATGATGACTGTACACATAAAACAAGCAAGAAATGACTAATTGTATCTTGATTAAAATTGTTAATAGCTACACTTTTAAAAAATGGCTTCGATGCAAAATCTAAAAATATTTTTCTCACAGATATCCGGAAAGAGTCTCTCTAGGTTTCAAGCGAAATTTTTTTAAGGATTGATATAAAATCTAACAAGATTGTTCATATGTGCCCATAGGCACTATAAATTTTTCCATTTGAATTCCAACCGTTTCGGTTAATTCTCGTCCGATAGGAATAGACATTTTGGAAAATGCCACTTGGAACTCCAACCAAGATGTATCCTTTTTTTATCAAGATAGTCAATTTTTCTAGAAAATCTTTTGCAAAATTAGAAGTATTTTTCTTTAAAAAACTATTGTTTATTTCAAAATAGAAGACAGTTGAGTATTTTTTGAAAACTCAAGAGCACAAGCAGCTAGACAAGTCATGAGGTTTTTTCCATTTTCAAGAGCATACGAGAGGACTTAAACTTATCTGAAAACCGCTGAGTAGAGCAAGAGAATGTTGCCTAGTTCCTATTCAATACCCTGAAAACTATCGTTCAAAAATCCCAAAACTTTCATTTTATTGAAAGTATTCTTCTGTTCCAAGTTTTGTTTTGTTGCGTTTATCTACTAAATACATGCTGTAAAGTAAGGGTCGAGTATCTTTCACGATCATTGGTCAGAAATTTGATATTTTTGGTGTTTTTCTTTTAAACAGAGACTAACGATCAGTGACCATTCTCAACTCAATGATTTTTAGGTAGATTTACGTCCACTTTCACATGGTAACAAACTCCTTGCGTTCTTGAGTTACTCACTCCGGTTCTATTTTGAAATGGATAATGGTATCTCGATAATAAAGCATATATTTGCACTCACTGTAAACTACCCAGGCCGAACAATCGGACGTAAGATCTCGTACGATCTTACTGTAAGCATGTTCCTCTTGGGTATTTATAGACAAAATATCAAATCAAATCCCATTTCGCTCGATTTTGTCAGATATTCGTTATAATAGGCCAAAAATTAATAGTGAAGAGACGAATCCGTTTCAACAGCTACTATTTATCAAAGGACGTCTCATTTCACTATCTAAAAAAGTTTCTTTTCGTGATCCTGTCATTTAGAATGTAGGTATGCGGCAAACCGGAATTGAACTTCGATAATCGTCCAGAAGTCAGAGTTGAAAATATACAGGTGTTTGCAAAAAAAAGTTGGAGAAAATAAAATTTTGTTTTTTGAGATGTTTTTATTATTATTTGATGCAATTGCGAACTTCTTTTTTTCAGGGCTAAATCTTCGATGGCTATACTGATTATCTACAATAACTCGTCATCTTCATCAACATGGCTATAAGAATTTGCTAAACAATTCATTAACAATAATGTACCACAAAAAATGGACTGGTCGACTAATAGTCCAGATGTGAATCTGATAGAGAACATTTGTTCAAGTGTAAAATCTAACGTTGAGAAAAGGAAACTCAAAAACATTGATGAACTCTAATAGTTTTTAATTGAAGAATTTGAAAATGTTTATCGAACAAGATGTCGAAGTTTTTTTGCAAATATCTGTACATATTTTTGAATTTCAAAAACGATCTTGAATACCAAGTCCAGATAGGAATAAATAGAAAATCCCGAATTTGTCGATATTTTTGAATCTTTCAAATGTAATATAAATTGAAAAAGGATACTCAACCGTTTGTGTTTTGCAATTTGTTAACGTGTACATGAAAGAAAAGGTGAAAGATATTCGAAAAATCTTTTCTTCAATTTGACTAAGAATTTTATCAGTTCTACAAACCTCAGGTAACCGATGGAGTTTTTGCATTCGTTGCACTGTCACATTTCGTCCTAAAAAGGAAAATTTGACGGCCAACGATTTTTTGACATTGAGCAATCGATGCCAATATCTAGGTTCAAACGTATAGAAAGCATTCGAACAGACGACGTCTTTTTGTCTTTCAAAAAATAATGGAAAACAATTCGTACCTACATTTGCTGGCAATACCAGGTAGGAAAGCGGCGGCTGTGTATACTGCTTGAAAAAATCCTTCCAAATGCCCACGACGCGTTATCTCTTTAATAAGTACGGGTGACAAGCGTTTAAGTCGTAATTTTTTGTGAACACATAAGAAGTTTATATCTACCATTGGTAATTCCCTGTTGATTTTTTTCAACGAAATGAATAAAAAAAACGAGATGAATTAATCATAATTACTTATCATAAACTCTCATTCGAATTGGTACAGCACTGATAAAACCAACCAATTTACCACTTTTCGTTGCACGAACTCCCACATGGAATTTTTGAAGCCAACCCGGCGCACATAAAGCCCTGAAAAGATCAAAATACATTAAAAAAAATAATTTTTTCTCTATTGTATGTAAATTACCATCGTAAAAATGGCATGGAATACTCCAATCGAAAATCATTACCATCATCTTCGATATAATTTTCGCTCAAGAACATATACAATTCCTGTAACTAGAAAAAATGACATGTCATTTATTAAATCGTAACAAAAATTCTCAATATACTTGTTCATCAACATGAATATCAATATCATCCCAAGAAAAACCATCGGGTAATTTATATGGCTCTTGTCGTAATTCATCTATTGATTTATTTGATTCGATAGGTCCAATATTACTTGTATCAATTTTTGTACCAATCGTCGGTACGGGTTGTGTTTGCCAAAATTTCCATTCTTGTCTTGATGCTGCCTTTTCGTCATATTTCGGTGCATATCCATTATTGCTAGCAGCAACTTGTTCGGCAAATGTCATTTGTTTCATTAAATCTCGCATTGATTTATCTGTAAGTTTTTGCTAAAAAGAGAAATTTTTTTAGATTGCTTTCAACATGAAAGAATCTTTTCTATTCACACTGTTGTTCTCGCCACGTGTACTATTTCCATCGAGGACATCAGTTGCGGCGGGGGCGGCGGCAGCAGCAGCAGCCGGTTTGCTCTTTGATTTTTTGCTAAACGACTTTGATGTCGTTGATGCATCAGCAGTAGAACTGTCTCCTTCATCATTTTGATCTTCGTTTCGATTTTGATCGGCCATGATTACAGATCTATAAATGAATGAGCGAGAGAAAGTGAATTGACCTTTGATCGTGATTACAAGAAAAGTAGAGATAAAACAAAGTTTGATGATCTATTTAGTCTTAGTCTTAGTTCCTCTTGTGCATTTGCGCACATTGGGCAACAAGTTTCCTCCAATTTAGTTTGTTTGTTTTCACTTGCTGTTTCTTTAGCGGTTTCTGTTTTTTACAAGGTAGGATTGCTAGCCCGGTGCTTAACCCTCCTCCTTTCTCATCTGGGCTTGGGACCGGCAACGGCGGAGTTATGATCTATTTTGCTTAGTATAAAATCTGGCTGTAATCAAAAACGAATGTCAAAAAGTTGTCTTTTGCTATGTACATTTAAAGATAATACTAATATAATCGCGATAATTGAATTTATCGTAGAATTTTGATGCGGTTCCTGTCGTTTCGACATCTGTTAATGAGAAAAAAAACAGATGATATTTGAAAAAGAAAAAACAAACAACAACTTTCTCTATTCATTGCCAGCATAAAGTTTGTTCAATGCATGCACGAGTGAACCTTGAGCAAGATGATGATTGAATAAATATTCTGTCGCTTGTTGTAATAGTGTATGTTCACTTGGAGCACATAACAAATTCATAACTTCGACAGCTTTAGCTAAAATATGAGGATTTTGAATATAATGACATGAAACACAAATAATAACGAGATTTAAATCAAGAATATCATCAATATTTCTTGTTGATAACGATTGTGGTATCATCCGAAGATGTACTAGTAGTAAAGAACAAAGAATAGAAAAATTATAACCACAAGAAAATAATGATTGTGCCAATGGGCATATTATCTTATGTGATATCTTTTTTTTCCTCAGTATGCTCGTGTACAATCAATGATATATAGTGTTCATAATCGTGTTACTCTTACGTTTATCTATGCATGGTTGAACCTTGTTCTCTTTCTGTCGTAATGCGCTTCTCATTCTATATCACCATTCACTCGTATATTGTATGTATTGTTACTCTATTGTTCTTCTATATATGTTCTCTCCTTGGCCTCATCACTTGTTCATTCTCACATTGTTCTCTCCTTGGCCTCATCATCTCTTATTCTACTCGTATATATAAACGTGTGCTTTATATGTAAACGATGCGATTGTATGATATGAAGAAATAGAATAAAGTGTAATACCATTCACACTAACATCATCTCTATCTTCAATCGTCACAAGATGATTAAATGATATGAAGGGATAAAGTAAAGTGTATCACCATCTCTCACACTAATGTCCCTACCACCTTCATTTTTTCGTCACAATGATATGTACATATGGCGACCAACATGAGAAACTCCCAAATCTCATCAATGTAGTAATCGGGCAATAGAAGGCTCGAACATCAAGCGAAAATTGAGCTCTTGACAACAAGACCAATCGATACATTGAATGAAAAAAAAAGAAACGGAGTGCAAAAACTTACTCTGTCGGATTAATGCCAACATAGCGTATTAGTAATTGTGAAATTTTTCCATAGAATTCTAAACTTGTTTCAGTCAAATTTTGATCTAGTAATGCGACACTAGCACATTGTTTAGCTCGTTTTAATGCCTGAGTGTAAAATACAAAATGATCGTTCCTGTTTTTTATTTATCAATGCATCATGAATGAATGAGGGCTATGTATAATAGGGGAAGCAAGAGAGAGGGACGTATAAAGCGAATAGCAAAACCACCAAAGTGTAACGAACAGTCGTGATTATGACGCACGCACGTTAT